CCCCCCCCCCCCCTCCCTACCCCCAGGCCTCCGTTGCTATCCCACCCGCTACTCGGGAAACAGAAGGAAATCGCACTCAACACACTTGTGTGTTGGTGCCTTTCCTTCTGTTTCTCCTAGCTATTGCTAGCTACCCGGGCGGTTTAAGACGAATGTCCCGCTCGCCTTCTACTTTCGTTTAACTAAGTGGGCCTCGTAACTACCCTACTTTTCTTTCTTGCCCTCTTAGTCTGCTCTTGTTTCGTTGCTTTTTCTGTCTTTCCAAGGCTTTTTAGGTGTCTACTAGTTCTTCGTTGCGCCAACAATTTGGCGCTTTTTGTACAAATGTTCCCCTGGGAGTTAGGACGCTACTGGAGGCCCCTGGCCTTACTACTACTTTGACCGCGCCGAAAACGGCTCTGTGTGTGTGTGTGTCCACCCCTGGGCAAAAGGTTTTCGTCCACTGGTCCAACGGTAGGGGGTGTCTTGAAAAAGCGCCGAAGCCGGCGACTTGTGTGTGTCCACCCCTGAACAAAGGGCTTCCTTCGACCACTCCAATCAGGCAGGGGGATCAGGGACGTTTGGCTTGGCCTGATCCAACGAAGCTCCAGCCATTCGTCAGGATATTCTCGAGGGACGCCTTGAGAACGTACCTGCAAAGTGCTTCACAAGCTGTTACCCTCCTTTTCCGCTTTTTGATTCATGGTGGTTTCGCATGATACCTTCCCGCAAACCTTTCTTCTTCCCCAGCAGCTGCGCCACCATCTTGATCGTCTCGCAACCGTTTTGAGTGAACAATGTTCAACAATACTTCTCAGCGGACTCTTTCGCCTTACCGTTCCATCACCTTCCTTCCCATCGTGAACTTGCATTAACGGAATACAAGTGTCAGAGTGTGTCGCCGTGCCATTGGAAGACGAAAAGCGTGCGACAACTAAAAAGATTTGTGATACATGCGTTGGTGCAAGCTAGAGATGTACTGAACCCCAAAACTTATATGCATGTGTTTCAACGCCCCGGGGCCATTCGTCATCCAGTTTCAAGCCCGCCCTTATCGAATTAAGCAAGCCCTTATTTAATGAAGCAAGGGCTAAACAAACTTTTAAGTTACCATCTGAAAGTTAACAAACTTTATTTAAGTTACCGCAGAAAGCGCCCGCGGTATTCATTGGGTTTTTAAACTGATGTTAATGTTTAGCGCCTGTACCCAACCCCCCTGAATTGATATTCAATGAGCTTAAGGTTAGCTGATGGTAATTTTGTTTGTTCAGAAAAGTTGTTTGGCTGCTGGACGGCCAATTCGCTGTTGAACAATCTAAGCCTCACTGAATTGAAGCAGTTGGCATTTGTAGGCACATACCCTTCTGGTTTGAATGCTGTTGGACGGCGATGTGAGTCATGCCACAGTGATTGCATGACTTGCACGCGGGAAAATCAATGCACCCAATGTCGAAACGGTGCCTCAGCTGCGAACCAGATGCCGTTTGGATCGATTCAAACGGACATACAGGAATGATCAAGAACAACGTTTGCGTGTCCTGAGGCAAGTACTTGACCCCAAGTTCCTGGTGCGAAGCATCCTGCCCCCATGGGACTTACAAGAATGGAACAGGACTTTGATGGTTGTTCAATACAGGGCATCAGCAATGCCAACCCGATGCAGGAGCAATTGGAAACACATGTGATCCTTGCCCTGGCGACTACAGTGCTTGCATCCACCCAACTTATGTGTTTGGGCATGAACTTAGAGCTGAGGTCTCAGACTTCATTTTGTTCTAAAGGCCCAAGTCATAGTGGACAATGCCCAGCAAAGTTTGAAGTGTTCAAGACTTACGACTAAACAAGCACAGGGATATACAGATACACACTTGGACTTGGGTGGTCACATGTTACTTCATAGGTTTCATTTCATGCTTCCAAATGCGCACTAGCTTGTTGCAGAACTATTTCTCCTGGATTGTGCTACTTCAGGCGACTGAATGCAAGCACGCAAAATTCTTGACGCCAGACGCAGCTTGCAGAGACACTTGCCCACAAGGTGCTGTGGGCTCAACATTTCAAGGACTTGCAAGTGAATCAAGTATATATACGCACAAACACATACATGCATGCATACATAGATATATATATATATATATATTTATAGATATATGTAGTCTAATTCATGGATTTATGCACCCCCCGGACCCAGGAACTGCCTTTTTGCTGTGTTGCAGGCGTTCGCAGTCTATTGCAGGGAAAGACTGTTTATACTTGCCAGCTCTTTCTCTTCTAACCGCTTTTCAAGGGAGTCAGGTGACATCATAATTGCAAGAATATCACACCACATATAGTGAAGGATCAGCCTTCTTTGGCAAATTGCCGTCTGCGCCAGTACCAAACTACTTTTGCACTGCAACATACAATAGCAGTCGTTGTCGTTCTAATTTTTGCTGTCTTCCTGAATTCTATTGGTGTCTCGTCATCTACTAAACTGAATATGTTTGATTGTGCTGTGCACTTAAACATTCCTTACTACTGTCGTTATGAGTACGAGTTGACAGCTGACAATCCAAAGTTTACTGATGTAGCAGTAAATATCCTCGCCAGTATCAATTAACTTTTTGACTTGACCATTCTCAGCACGTGTCAAGATATCAGACGATTCAGAGAGCTTTTGCAATGTTGATATATATTCCAGAACCATTCAATTTTGTGCAGCCGTATACTGTATAATCGACCTTTTTCCGTCTACTACTGAAGAAATCAGACGGATTATTCCATGGCACCAGCTTTGAATATTGCTGGATCATCAGGATTATACAGGTATAACGGTATAGCATGTTCTTTACCGGCATGCAAACCTTCCCTGTTATGTGCTGTTTTTGCAATATCAGGCACATCTATATAATTTGGTAGTTTACTTAAGAGTTCTTACAACACTGCTTGTTCATATTTGTTGTGCCTGTTTTTCACCCTTGCGCCGGCACCCAGGGAAACTTTAAAACATTTGGGCAAACCTCCTAGATTCTTCATTTGGCTCAAACAATCTGATCTCCCAGTAGCAACTACCACATTGTGTTTGAATTTTATGCATATCCCCAAGAAGATTTCAGGTATTGGGCTGGCTTTAACAAAGATTGTTGGATTTGCCGCCATAGGCTTTGGACTTTACCATGCACCACAACCACAGAACAGAAACTGACGTCTGATTAGTCGATTAACACATGTGTGTTCAACTATTCACCTCGCCAACGCGATCTTTGCAACGAATCTCCTGGCTATCACACATCTCAATGTTGTTCAATTGCATACCAAGTAGCAAATTCAAATATGCAACCCCCAGCTCCTTCACCACTGACAACTACATTAATGTCATCAATGTTTTACGTTGAATCTCTGAAGTTCTTCGATGCTGCAAACAAATCCAGATCATCATGAAAAGCAGGTATATCAAACCTTTGTTGAAATTCACTCTCTATCAGATAGGCAGGAGCTTTAATATCGTCAAGCTTAATCACGCCAAAAACATCCAATAGTGGCAACTGATGGCAACTGCATCAAGAAAACTATCCACATTGCTATCGTCGACCAATAAATACATCAAATGCATCACAATATCAGGAATCCTACAAACATGTTACAAAGGTTGAAGGAGGTAGTTGGTAGTTATCAAAGAGCCACCCAACTTATATAGAGAGCTTGAGACATGCCCGCACCTCCAGTAGCAGGTGTTCGTTTTGGGCAGCTGACATCCTTAATCAATGCAAATGTTACATGCATGAATCATGAATACACATCCTCAAGGCTTTAAAGGGGCAAACGTGTTCAATGCCTGACCTTAAACGAGACCTCGACAGGCTCACAATCTATGGATACGTTTTTGTCGGAGCTTTTTCCCGAATGTGTAGCAAACGGTTCCCGTTATCGTGGGGTTCTCGGGGCTGGACCCGTGTAAGTGTAAGACATTCTGAATCAACATCAGATTTACCAAATCCAGGTGAAATTCGCCTCCAGTCCCACAAGAGTGTCCTACCAGGGCACCCCACAAGTGCCCTACAAGAGTGTCCCACAAGAATGCCCTGCAAGAGTTGCCCTCCAAAGGTGCGCAAAGAGTGTCTAGCAAGAGTGGCTGACAAGACTCTCCCACAAGAGTGCCCGACAAGAGTGTCCCCAACTGACTGTCCGACAAAAAAGCATACAAGAGTGTCCCACAAGAGTGTTGACCTACAGAGTTGCCCACTAGAGAGTCCAAGAGTTCCTCCCAACAGTGTCCAAGAGGAGTGTCCCACAGGTGCGCGGCACAAGAGTGTCCTTTTAGAGCACCGCGCAAAGAGTCAAGCAAACATGTCACATGTGTCTAGTCACCCCAGAATGCTCTTGATTTGTGTTTTTGAAATGTCAACCAAGAGTGTCAAAAGACATTTGGCCGTTTTACATGTGTGCATTCTGGTTCGCCGGTTCGTGAACTCTGTCAGGTTTTATATTTTGAGGTGTCGGTGTTTCCTACATTTGTCTGCAGTTGACATTCAAAAAAACTCGGCAGGCTCAAACAAAATTCAAAAGCATCGCTTGGGTGGTAGGAGGGGTGAACTGGTGATGCGGTTTGTTAAAGTCAGATGTACTTGCATTGAGGATTTGCGTAGCTTCAGTTCATTTTGCGTTTTGCTATATCCCCCGATGTCAGGAATTCATAGTATGGCACCCATTTGCCAGGACCAAAATATAGCGCCCCTAGAGAACACACTGTAAATAGCAAAGGTAGGTCTGGGTGTTTGTAAGAAATGGACTATATAGTTTTTTTCGTTTTTCCCCAATAGCCATGCTATGGGGTCTTGCAAAACTAATAGGCGGACGGGCGCCGTCGGGTCACCGTCAGAGCTGGTGGGCGGATGGTGTCCCGGTCATGTTTTGATGGCGTCCGGGTCATGTGATGCTGGTGTCCCGGTCATGTTTTGATGGTGTCCCGATCATGTTTTGATTGTGACCCAGTCATGTTGTGATGGTGTCCTGGTCCTGTTTTGATGGTGTCCCGGTCATGTTTTGATGTTGTCCCGGTCATGTTGTGATGGTGTCCCGGTCATGTTTTGAAGGTGTCCCGGTCATGTTGTGATGGTGTCCCGGTCATGTTGTGATGGTGTCCCGATCATGTTTTGATTGTGTCCCAGTCATGTTGTGATGGTGTCCCGGTCGTGTTTTGATGGTGTCCCGGTCATGTTTTGATGGTGTCCCGGTCATGTTGTGATGGTGTCCCGGTCATGTTTTGATGGTGTCCCGGTCATGTGATGGTGTCCGGGTCATGTTGTGATGGTGTCCCGGTCATGTTTTGATGGTGTCCCGGTCGTGTTGTGACGGTGTCCCGGTCATGTTTTGATGGTGTCCCGATCATGTGATGGTGGCGCGGTCATGTTGTGATGGTGTCCCGATCATGTTTTGATTGTGTCCCAGTCATGTTGTGATGGTGTCCCGGTCCTGTTTTGATTGTGTCCCGGTCATGTTTTGATGGTGTCCCGGTCATGTTGTGATGGTGTCCCGGTCATGTTTTGATGGTGTCCCGGTCGTGTTGTGACGGTGTCCCGGTCATGTTTTGATGGTGTCCAGTCCTGTTGTGATGGTGTCCTGGTCATGTTTTGGCGGTGTGCCGGTTATGTTTTGATGGTGTCCGGGTCATGTGACGGTGTCCCGGTCATGTTGTGATGGTGTCCTGGTTATCTTGTGATGGTTTTCCCGTCATGTCATGTTGGTGTCCCGGTCACCTTGTGATGGTGTCCCGGTCATGTTGTGATTGTGTCCCGGTCATGTTGTGACGGTGTCCCAGTCATGTTGTGATGGTGTCTCGCTCATGTTGTGACGGTGTCCCGGTCATGTTTTGATGGTGTCCCGGTCATGTTGTGATGGTGTCCTGGTCATGTGATGGTGTCCCGGTCATGTTGTGATAGTGTCCCGGTCATGTTGTGATGGTGTCCCCGTCATGTCATGCTGGTGTCCCGGTCACCTTGTGATGGTGTCCCGGTTATGTTGTGATGGTGTCCCAATCATGTTGCGACGGTGTCTCGGTCATGTTTTGATGGTGCCCTGGTCATTTTGTGATGGTGTCCCGGTTATGTGATGATGGTGTCCAAGGAAGAGATGGTCGATGTGTTGAAAACAGCAGCTGTTTCGAGATGTTTCTTTTTGTCCCGGTTTGTATCTTGCTATTGGGGTCTCCAGCTGGGCTAATTTTGCACCCGGCAGGTTTTTTAAAGAGCTGTTTCCGGGGTAAGGGTTTCAGATAGCACCGTTTGGTAAAGTTGGGGGTAATGTTGGGGGTTCGTCGGCAGGGCACCTCTGTGGAGTTTCTTTTGGACCTGTTTGGGTGCTTGCCTGCGAGGGGGACCTTTTAGGCAGGTGTTCTTAGGCGGAGGGCATCTCTGTGAGGTTTCTTTCGGGGGCTTGCCTGGGAGGGGGGCTGTTGGGGACAGGATTTGGTTCAGATGTCGGCTTCCGCACGTGTTGAAGTGCACGTAACCTGACCGGCATCGACAATCGTGAGGTTAGCCTTCCATTTGTTGAAGTCGATCAGACACATCCGGTTTGCCGTATGGAATGTGGCGATCGAGGAAACAGGGTGAAAGACATGTATGTTTGCTGCGGCATGAATGTTTGAAGCATTGAATGTTTGCCCACTCACAAGGGAAAGACATGTGTTCAAAGCTCAAAATAGGAAAATTGGCACACGAGGGCTTTAAGTCGGCCATGTTGGTTTAAATGTCCAAACATGTCAAGGAAGAGCCTTGCAGCCCAAAACACGTCAGCCACAACCTTGGGAGACACGACCCCCGAATTGACCATGTCAATTTGAAACTGCTGCTTCTGCAAACGGAAGAGCTTTGCAGCCCAAAGCATGTCAATAAAGAACCTTGCGGGGCACGGCCCCCAAATCTACCAGGTCCCTGTGAAACCCTTGCGCCCCAAAGCATGTCAACGGCCCCAAATCTACCAGGTCCGATTGAAGCCCCCCAAAACATGTCAATACCCCCAAATCTACCAGGCGCGGCTGAAACATTTGCGCCCCAAGACATGGCAATAAAGAAGCTTGGAAGGTATGGCCCCCAAATGTACCAGGTGTGTTTGAAACTCTTGCGCCCCAACAACATGTCAATCAGGTCCGTTTGAACCTTGCACCCCAAAACATGACAAACATATACTGCCCCCAAATCTATCAGGTCCGTTTGAAACCTGAGGCAAACATGTCGAAACAGCGCCCAAAACAATAGCAAACAGAGAGAAATGATATGTCTCTCTGGGTACGAAGAAGAACGCACATGTTCTTCCACAAGCTAGCAGTCTGCGTTTCAACTGCTTTGCAATGAACGCGCAACTCAAACGTTGTGTGACTGCAGGCTACTTCCAAGAGGGCCTTGGTGAGCTTGGGAGGCATTGCCCGCGATGCCATGACGGGCTTGGGAAATGCGATCGCGACAGACAGAGCACAGGGATGTAAGATGCATGACTGAGTATCCAGATGCTGCACTTCCCAAAACTCGCATGTTCCCTCAGGAGAACTGCAAGTCTTGTTCAGCACCGGCTTTGTGCACAGTTTGTGACAATGGAAAGTTCTTGAGCCCGAACATGTGGTGTTTGAAGCCCAGCTAATTCTGCCAAAGGTCAAAACGATTGGACATATAGATTGCTAGTGCAGTGAACTGGCTGGTTTCACTTTGCTGGTTTGGTTATGTGTGTGTGTTTCATAATATATACTGAGGTGATGACACATGTCCTGATGGTTACTACCGAAATGGATCTGGCAAGATTGGAAACACATGCCCAGCGTGTCCGAAGCACGCAAGCAAGTGTCTCAATGCCTCGCATTCCATTGAGTGCAAGGATTCTCGCCACCTGACGGGGATTGGGCCAAACGCATGAACTCAAAATTGTGAGTGAAAACAAGGTATATATATAGATCATTATAGATCTTGAGAATCTAGGTGAACTGAGATCATGACGGGTCCAAACTGGTTGAACAATCAATCATCATGTCCTTTACAGCAGGTGCCAAGTGTTCACGGTGGGGTGAGCTGGGAGCATGCTCACATTCTCACTGAGGTTACTTGACACCAGACTTCACTTGCGAGGTGGATTGCCCTCGAGGTCTTTTTCAGAAAGGTGCTACCACAACTGGACGCGTTTGCTCCCAATGTCCGAGCAATTGCACTCTTTGCGTGAATGGCACTGCATGCCACTTGACTGTGAATTCTGCAGATGTAAGCCAGTCAAACCAGAAACCTGCCGTCCTTGCTCGGTGCGCTCAGGCAGAGAATGCAGGAACAACCTCTATCTCACCCCGAAGTTTTTGTGTGAGGCCGAGTGCCCGTCTGATCATTATTATGAGCCAGCATCGTCATTGAAGCAGATTGTGCGGGCCTTGTGATGTTGCTTGTTTAGCTTGACATTTGCAAAACATGTTTCTGTACTTGCTTCATCTTGAAAAGCTGCCCCTGCTTGAAACCAGTTGAAGGATTGGAAGAAGCTGCCTGATCATAGTTGCGGCGGCAATGAACTATGGCAGTGGTCAGGTGGGGGAGACTCGAAGCAACTTGCACACAAAGTGGTGGTGGTGCTTGCTGTTTGTCGTTGGTTGTAGTTGCCGCCACAGCCGCTTCTGCTGATGTTGCTACTCTGCGCCTTGGTCGAGGTATGGCGAGCAGTTTGTAGACAATTTGGTGGGGTGCCAGCTCATGTGCATGGCCAGAGCTGAATGCGCAGCCTTTGAGATGCGCCTGAGACTCAGTTCGTCGCAGCGCATTTGCCGTGTTGCAGATTGAGCATCCTTCTATTTTGTTGGGTTGCTCTTGTCAAATTTTAGTAAGATAGACTTCAGTGCAGGCCAGCAGAATTATTTTCCTAGCGCTTTCTCTATCACTGCACAAGCCTAGGTGATGACAGCAACAGTTGTTCTTTCTGGAAAGCTGAGCCTTTAGCCCCGAAAGCAACGAAAGGAATTCATTGTTTCCAAAAAGTTGGCAGCGGGCCTCAGTATGCAGCTGATCACAGCTTCATAGCTTCACAAGAAGAAAACATAGAAGAGCTATGTGTTCTTCTTGTGAAGCTATGAAGCTGCACACAGCCGTGAAGATATCTTTGTTTTATTATTGTCATTGTTTAAGCATGCTTTCTTACACGCTGCGATATGGTCCTGCTTGTGCTTCAGGTCTTGTGCCCAAAAAAGCCAAAGCAACAACAGGGGAAGTTGTGCTTCCTGCTGCAGGGATTGCATCGATGAGCGCCCGGGATGCAACCAGACGGAACGTGTCATGATGTCATCTAATTTGCAGCAGCAACAGTGGCCTTTTGTCTTGTCGTTAGGAGTGGGATACCAGTTTCTGTGCCACTTCCAGGTTCTAGCCTGGAGAGCACTTTGCCGCGCCTTTGCCACTCGAACGAAGCCACATGTTTTGCTACAAGCTTAACTTTCAGTGTAAGATGAGCACCTGAAAGATCGGTTGATGTAGGAAACACCAGCCAGAATGGGGGCGAGAGAAGTACTACTACCTGTTAAGCCACTTGTTAAGCTTGAGGGCATTTAAGATAAGAAACGCCCGTTGAGATGCCTCCCAGATATACCGTGTCGGATTTCATTCATGGGTTATGTAACAGCGTGGGCGTAAGTATGACATGTACTAGGCCCGCTTTGATACTTGGCATGCTTCAGTTTGTTTGATCCTTGAGACCTTGGAACGGCAGTTCCGAAAGCCTTGATGTGCTTGGTATTACCTGCAAACAATGAATGAACTGTAAACAGCCTATGTTCGCTCCCCTCTTTTCCTTCAGATTCCTATCTATCAACTGTTGGATTCCTCAGCAAGGTAAACAAATGACATGTTGTTTTCAAGTAGCTTGTCCATTCAACGAAGTTCAAACATGTCCGCAAAAGGTATCCCGTTTGTAGCAGGCCGCAACAGTACAGGAAAACTATAATTGGAGGCCTTTATTCATACTACGAGCATCTAGGTGGGCTGTACATGATATCATAGTACTATCATATGTCACAGTACAATGTAGGATTTGACAAGCTTGAGGTTCACTTCAGAAGCCTGATGTTTGCATTGGCGCCGCTTTCAGGCAACGACGGGCTTGTAGCAACTCGGTGCAGTTCAACGTGGAATGAGGCGGCTGGAGAACAGCACCCTTGGCAGCTCGGTGGACAGTGCCGAGTGGTGGGCAATGGCAACTAGGAAAGTCGTTGTCACTTCATGATATTGACCTTGTAGCATGAACTCCAACGGACACCAAGATTCACACGTGGAGGGCAAGTGCATGAAAACAAGGGATTCGAGCTGGATTGGCTCTTATGGTACTATTATCATGACTTGGTGGTTGCAGGGTTCCATGTCTAGCCCACTTTGTCCTTCCTTTCTTTTGTTCCTTCTTCTGCATGACTGAGCCTGAGCTTACAACTCTGGCCGCAAGTCGACAAGACTTCGCCAGCTGTGGTCGGTAAGTTTGTTAATGTTTTGGCTTAGTGTTTTTGAGAAGTCGTTGCGGAACAGGTGTGCCATGCAATCTTGTGTCTAGGAGTGGAGGCGTTCTCAATCTATCGGATATGATAGCCATGGTATTAATCCCTTCCATACTAAAAAAAACGGCCCCCCCCCCAAATAAGGAAACCTCGGTCGCATTTTTTCTAATAGGGGGTCCCTGAAATCGGGGGGTCCAAAATAGGGTCACCTGGGAAGAGCTTCAACACCAAAAAGTAACCCAGGATTTTTTTTAGATAAAATCATTTATTAAACTCGTATCAAAAATGCAAAAAACCTCCAGATCGAAGGGTCTTCCTTTTCCCCTACAAGCTAAAGCTTTTGAAAGGTGATGTCGCTGTGCCATGCGGTGTTGCATGACCTCGGTGGCAAGTGCGTTTGCATGAGTCCGTGCCATTGGGGGAAGGAAAGCCTGCTGGTGTAAGCGCGGCGTGTCATGGTGGATAGACAGGGCGGACAGAGGTGGGCAGTTACGGTTGTTTTTGGAACCCAAGTAAAACAAAAAACATCCAAAGTCGGCCATGTTGGTAGTTTAGTAGCGGCTTGAAAGGGCGGTAATTTAAACACAAATATACCGTATTTACGGGGATCCGACCTGATTTTTTTCTTAATTAGGGCACGCTTTTAATTAGGGGCCTCTTTTAGATAAGTACTCGGGATTATTTGGAACAGGGTTACATCACTTCTCGGAAGCTTCGAGTTGTGCTTCCCTGCCTGACAGAGAGGAAACAGGGGCTCACGCCTCATGCCTTGAATTCCACCTGCAAACGGCTGGCTGTGGTGGTGTGAGAGAAACAGTCCCTCATATAATTCAAAAGCTTTTGGGTTCAGTATAGGGCATGTTCGAAGCTGCAGTCACGGTGACTGCTTTTGACCGGCCTTTGCAGTGCATTCAATTGCACAAATAGAGAAGCGTACCAGGGCTTTGAATCCAGGCGCAGCGAGGCATGCCAACCTCATTGGCTCAAGTGGCGAAAACAAGTTTGGGCGGACTGGGCAGTCGATCGTTTTCAGTCAGGTTCACAACCACAAGTCACGAAGTGTGCCATTATTTTCTTTTTGATACTGTATATGGTAGTGCAGCTCCTGTCAGCAGCACAGGTTCAGGTGCTTCCAGGTTTTCGCGTGGCAGTTCATCACTTAGTGACTCGCGAGCCATAGCGGATTATAGAAATCAAAGTGACAGAGCTTACTAGCACTGAGCAGCTTGGGGTGCTTCAAGAGTTGAGTGCTTGCGGCCTGTGCCCTGCCACACGTGCATTTTTCCGGCTTCTCGTCAAAATGAACTCCATCAGTCAGGCCAGTCCTGCTGTAGTAGGCCGAACAGTCCATGCGCCGCTCAGGTCAGGTTACATCATTGCTTCCAATGCACCCACAGGGCATTGCAGCCCCAATCACCGCGCCCCAAGGTTCGACCATGTTCGACTCATGACCAAACTGACGATAATCCGTTCAAGCGTTTGGACAAGTGGATGCCACCTGCCCCGTCCCCCCCGTATTAAGGTTGAAAGGCAAAACGCGCTGAGATTGTCGGCTTTAACAAACGCGTTGCAAGTTTGGATCGAATTCGTACCCATTAAGGGTCACGGGAGGACCAATCGGGCTCGCATAGGTTGACGCGCTTCAAGAGCCACCCCAAAATATAGTGACCCGTTGCTGTGAGGAAAGCAATGGATTCCATCGTTGTTGTGGATTTGAGTATTTGCGACGCTCACCGGAATCAATCAGTTAGCCAGCGCACAACCGCTGCCAAGCCCTTTCCAGAAGGCGTTACCAGGTGGAGTGGGGCGGACAACTCGCTGATGTATTGCTGTCAATACGCGAGCGCTTGACACTTTGGAAGCAGACAAAATATCTTTGTTGTTGCGCGCGCTTCCCCGACGATGTGGACAGTGGGCTGTCTTTCCCGGATGATTTGATGCACGTTTTGAGACACACATGAAAGCTGCGCTTCGCTATGAATCGTAGCGGCGAACTGGTCAGATTTGAATCGTTGGCCAGACAATGGCGCCCATGAGCGCCTCTGGTGATACAGGTATAGGGACAAAGGAAACAAAGACAAAAGGGAAGCGTCAAAAGGTTTTTAACGTCAGGCCAAGGGAACAGGAGTAGGCAGTGAGACCAGAACCTGTTTCGATTGCAACCAATTAGGCCGTCGAAAAGGCACCGAAACCCCAAGGAGAGGACGCTTCTAAGAGTCCAGGGAATGGCAAGGGCAAAGGAGGAAAGGGAAGTGGGCAAGGAAAGAAAGGGGAGACAGGGAAATCCAAGCCCAAGCGCGACGAAATTCTTGCAACGACTAGAGACAGACGTCGGCGCTATATGGTCTGAGATGTTGTTGCGAAGCCGTTTTTGATTTGTCAAAGCGCTGGGGCGTCAGACCGAATTGGTGTGCTTGTGGGTTCACGAGCTAGTCGCACGGTTGTTTCGAGGTACACGCGGCTACCGTGTCTTGAGAGCATGGGCGTGTCAGATCCATCAGGAATGCATGCTTGAAGCCATCAACTTTCCAACCATCAGTGGACGTGATGATCACGATCACGTCAAGATGGTCAAGTATGAGATTCGAGCTGTACTGGGGCCAGCGGAGCGCAGGTTGTGACTGTTTCCGGATTGACTCAATTAGGCGCAACCTTTGTGTATGGTCTTTCTTGACTTCTGTTCGCGACGTCAGGAGACCTGCCGATTCAATTGGAGCAGCGCAGTTTCCTTTTGGACTCGCCCGCGTCGTCGGAAGCGCCGTGGGAAGATCAGGCGGAGGGAACTCGGCGACCGCCCATTGGCGAAGGGGACGGCCGAAGATCAAGATCACCCACGCAGTGCATCCTGGCTTCAAAGAGCGCGACGTGTTGCGCAAGAGGTTTCAAGTGGAGGGGCCTTGGCGCAAAGTCTAGGAATCTTGAGCGCTACGCCTATAGTGTGGAAGCCTTTGGTTGTTCCTTGAGTGTGATTGATTCAGTATCACGGCTCGCGTTTGGCTGGCTTTGACATTTCGACCGCCTTTTGAATAGCTTCGAGGCACGTGCGCTCGTGGGGCTACCTGCTCTGCAGACTGTTTGTTCGAGGGACAAGTCACCGAACGGACCTAGGGTGACGCACTTGTGAACCCTCACGCACTCATCATTGCGCGAGCGAGCCCATGATCGCGGGCGGTCTAGAAAAGTCTGCGCCCCGCGCGCCCACTGTGATCTATGTTGCTGTTTTTATTGTCGGCTCACCTTCACTACAGGGCCCGGATGTTCGTGAATCCCCGTCGCAACATCGAAGGGCTCAGGCGGGGCGATTGTCTTTTGGGCAGACATATTGTGAGGCCGGCAGCGTCGAGCGATCTCCTTGTGTGAGCGCCGCCACAGTATATCTGAAGGATTTAAATGACCCTTTTTGTTGTGGCCTGAAACCATCAGATACACCACCAGAGTTGCTGCGAGCGTTGGAGAAGGGCATGGTTGCGATTTAGAACAAGCAGGAGAACCATCGGGAACGTGTCCAGGCCAGACCAAGCCAGTTCTCGCAACAGGGCAGCCGACGCCGACAAACTTGCGCGAGACGGAGAAAGTATCTCAGGTATGTCCAAAAGCAACTTCACTTGTTCCAAGGTCGACTTGTGTATACATGGAAAGTTTCAGTAGTTGTAAGGACGTTAGGTTATCTTCATGCGCGCCAGCGGCGCAAGAATGTGGTGGAAAGCGACGCGTAACAGAGTACTTGGCCGAAACAAGTTTCTGAAGCTGTCCACTGGAGTTCTTGAAGTTAGGGCTTGATGAACACCGAACGGAACTCTCAGCCTTTGATCTTTTCAAGTACGCGGTCACGTCTCAGGGCTCCAAGCAACCAGGGAGGGTTGAGCAGGAGTTACTATCACCACAGTTAGTTGAGTTTTAGGACAAGAAGAGTGGCAGTTCGTCACAATGAAAGATGTCTAACGGCTCAAGAGGTCTGCGGGCAGGTCACGGAGTTCCACGGCCAGAAGCCAGGCGCCTCAACTTCTTCGATAAGGAAGGGCGCTTGGGAATTTGCGAGGTTCATCGGGTCTAAAGTGAAGACCGGGAACGTGAGCCGCGTCGTCGTCATAGATTTGAAGTGCGTGCCCCAGCGCCAACGCACGGTTGGCGAGTTGAGTTCACGCGTTGTCGTTCCAGTTGCTAAGGACGATGGTTTGAGATGCGTGTATGAAAGTTTGAAACCGTGGGTTTCTTGCTGGATTGCCAGCGCGCGCATGCTCAGCGTTCTTGAAATGACAGAGAGAGACGCTTTTTTGGAAAGCAGATATTCAGTCCAGGCGTGCTGCCGACGTCGTGACTTCCATCGCGTCGTAGATGTATCTACGCTTGCGCGCGCGAATGGAGAGAAATTTGCAGCCTTGCGCGAGTTTTGTTTTGCAAGCAGAATCTGTCAGCTGAGAAAATAGCAACGAGGCTTTGCTGTTAAGTCAAAGAACCCAGATGAATTTAAGCCGATCGTGCGAAATCCATTTGCGTTGGACTTTCGGTTTAGGAACTTGCGGTTCGGCCAACAGGTTTCTGCGCGCCACGACTCATAGGGGCGGTGGTGGTGGTCGTGGTGGTGGCGGTGGCAGTGGGCAGCGGTGGTTGTGTTGCTGCCGCTTCCATTTTGGTGCGCGCGCGCTCCTTGTGACTGGGCGCTCAAAAACATTTGTGCTTTGGAGAAACGCAGTCTTTTTCTCGTTTATACCTTGCCATTGTTCTTATCAGCGCGGCGCGCAAGCTCAAGCAGCGGCGCGCAACCCTTCCACACCTCAGATTGCTGTTGAATAGGGCCGCTACTTCACAAGATAAATTCTGCACGCAGACACGTTCGATATTTCCCCAAACAGGTTTACCTGCGAGGGGCTCTTACTCCTTTGAAAGGGTCGGGCCGCGTGATTTTACATTTGTCTCCGGGCTTACGTTCCTGCCACACTGCGGTTGCTTTGGCCACATGATGTTACAGTTGTCTCCCAATGCACTTGTCTCCCACTTCTCTCGCTACGTGCTCTGCCTGCGTGATTTTGCACTCGTCTCCCGCTTGTCTCCCTTGTCTTCCTTGTCTCCACACTGCTGCTCTGGGCGCGTGGTTTTACACTTGTCTCCTACTTGTCACCCTTGCCTCCAGTACACTCTGGGAAAGCTTTAACATCTTTTAACCAAACAAAGCATGATAAAACCACATGTCAGTACAACTCAGCGTATTCAGTAGATTTGCGTATGTTCTGTTTTCTTCCAGTTCTGACTTTGAACCAAGTGAGCCAAGTGCTGAAACAAACCCAGAAGGTCCGAGTTGATCACCGCGAGCTGGAACGGTTTGAGCCGTTGACGGTTTGACAGTTCGTCTCTGCGGCTTGCTTCATAGACGCGCAAACTGTTTGGGGTCTACGCTGGTATAATTTATCTGGGCCCTGCGTTGATCATAGAACTTTGGACCAGTTCTGTTCCTCCTTTTCAACAAGGTAGTTTCCCACCTGCCATGGACGTTTCTTCACTAGCGAAAACAGTGTAAATATGTGGAGGCTTGATTACTAACTTACGATGAGCCAGTGACCAAATGAGCGTTTGTTGAAGGTTGTGTTACATCTATATCTATACCTATATAACAGCTAATAACAGCCATGCCGCTCCATGATGTTTCATTGTGAAGTGCGTTCGAAGTAATTCAAAAACAAATCTGACTTACTGACTGTTTGTTGGGGGCTCACCTTTCTTTTGCCCGTGTTTTCATGTTTTCTACATTTTTTTACCTTGAACCAGTTCAAACCAGACGGTCTCAAGTGTGGTTCAGCTGATGTGGCCAGCGTGGCAAGCGGTAGAAGCAGCGATGTTGTTCATGCGTTTGCGTGAATCCAGGTGGCAATTAGACCTTGGGGCCAATGAAACGGTGGTGAAGGTCCGTGTCTTGAACCAGCCAGAAAATTGTGAGGCCACGGATGGTGTGGACAGATGTTTTGAGTTTGCACGTTTGCAAGTTGCGACGAAGCAGAAGAGAAAAAATTGCAAGTTTGACTCAGTTCACAAACGTGGATTGACTAACATTGACACACACTGCAGGCATTGTCCGAGGAATTGACTGGTCTCCACTGCTCTTTGTTGGGTGGAGTTGTGGGTGTCAGCAAGAGGCCTTGTGAGAAAGGCCAGGGCAGAGAGGGGCAGAGCACCTTTCGAAGCAGTCAAAAGCACGCACAGCACACATCAAAAGTATCCTCTATGCATTCAGTAGTTGCCGACTGGCCTGCAGGCAAACTTTGCAACGGCACAGTCTGCGGAAATTTTGGCAGCAATACTATGGGTTGGAGTTGATCACTCGTTTTGTGGTTTGAGTCTAAAGTCTAAAATCTAAAGTACATGGGATGCCAGCCGAGGAACATTGACGCAACCAGGAGCTGATAAATGGTATGAGGTTTCTTGCGACCGTTCTGAAGGGCGCTATGTTTACCTTCAACTCCAAGGACGACGTGATCAACTGCACATTGTGCTCAATGTTCAGGTTCATGAAACTTATGCAAAGGTCAAATGGTCGCCAGTTTGAATGTTCTTGACCATTCAACCGATTGTGAGTGCATTTGCACTGGCCGCTGCCAAGTCTCGAGGATACCGAGTTTTGAACTTCCATGAGCTCGTGGCCTACAAGGCTGTGTGAAGTCAAAGCAAATATCAACAAGGTTCCAGCATTTTATCAAATTTTATCTATTTGAGACGAGAACCTCCAGCACATGACGCAAGATATGTTCATCAGGTATCAACCAGCGAATCCTGTGTCGAGACCTGGCAAATGACCAACATCGTGCAGAAAGGTGCGACAAGGGAAGCCCAGGGAGCACAGTAGCAAACAACGGTGATTGTTTTGGCCTTAATGCCAGCTTGATGCTCCTAAAAAATTGCAAACCAGTGCACGAGACTTGCACATGATTTTTGGTGGAGACAAAGGCTTGTCGAACTGCCACACATCCACAAGTCAACAAAAGAGTAGTTCTTGTGGGTTTGCATGTCGTGTGTTTTCACAAGTGCAAGGCGATACCTTCATTGCAGCAAATCAGAATGGTGGAGATGCTTTTGCAGTTGCAGGGCCTGTGTCAAGCTTGGCTTTCAAGCCTGGCCAGGCCAGAGTATTTGTTCCATTCTTTTTTGACACCTGAGAGGACAGAATGGAAAAGGAGGCCAACGTGGGCCGAATTATGTGGGATCCGTCTTATGATGGGTCGATTTGGTATAATTTGGGCATTTTGAGAGTGCGGAACCGTAGTGCTCCGCTGGAAGTTGGCGCCTTTTTGACACATTGAAGTGCAGAACCATGTCAGGATGATCGGTCTGTATGGGTCGGCCTAACCACCAACCCCACAGACGAGAAGGACTTTGAAAATGGTAGGTTTGTCCTCTTGACAGCGCATGGCTCTATATTGATCGAGACTTGGTATGTATAGACTGCAAAAATGTTTTCTTTAGTCTTTAGACGACAAAGTATATCTTTGGTAGACGTGGGTCATATTGTTTTTCTTTGTGAACTTGTTTTATATTATATATTTATTTACTTGCCTGTGTCATTCGACATTTGCATTTGCTTGTTGAACTTGTCTAGGATGGTGCAAAGAGTGAGATGACCTACACTACAGAAGATTACCTTCGATTGGAACTCAAAGGCTGAAGAAATCCAGCAACTAAATGTACTGTCTCAGAGTCTCATTCACTAGTTTCTTCTTTTTGCTTTGTTTCTTTAACATTTGGATACATTTGGCACAAAAACAAGTTGTTCTCCAGCAAGCTTGATCCATTTTTGCTGCTGCCTTCTAGGTTTCTAGGTTTTGCAACTTGCACACAGCATGTGATTGTCACAAGCGTGTCATTGCAACACAGTGGCAGAGCCCTGTCAACAGGCAGTGACCTAATCATATCCAAGAACGGAGCTCCAATACACATCTATGATTTGGGCTCCAGCACTTCCTTGCACGGCTGGTATGCTATGATTTGGCAACTCAGCAAAACTGTTTGTTGCTGATTTGACTGTAAGACTCTTTTTGTCTCTCGATCAGTAGATTTGAGGGCGTGATGTAGTGTGCAGCGATATCGCACAATCGGTCTATCGCATTTCTTCCAGGTTTGAAGAGATGGGACCTAACGACGCAGCTGGCTGGAATCTATATATTTTGAGTTGCAAGGTCGAAATGCATGACCACAACCCTCTTCACTCGAATAAATACTAATTATCGTGAGTCTGGGAGAAAAAGCGCAAGAACCTTGTAAGGCAGTCTACTTGGAGAACATCCAGACAACTTGCTTTCCTTTGCCGGATGGCGTTGGTGGGACGTGCATGAAATGCCCAGAGGATGTGAGCAGGCCCTGCTGTTCTACTCGACTTTCCAATTCCACACCCTGAATAACTCTGGCTGTGGCACATGGAAGAAACAGATTTTCAGACGAAGCATTTACATCATGAGGAGAGAATGCCAGCTGCATAAGGTGAATGCTACAGCAGGTCGATCATTTGGGGTACTCGGTGTGGTAAATGTGCCTCTCGAGGTGTGTCAACACTTCCATCGCACTGGAATGCAAGAACGATATGTATTTGCGCAGAACTCACGACTGCGCACCTCAGTGTCCGATCGGTGACTTCCCGACTGATGGTGCCAACGGCATAGGCTTGGAGCATTGTGCGATGCAATTTCGCCACTTTCGCTACTTACAGACGCAGGACTTGATTCTTTTCTAAAGTCCTTGATATTCTAAGGGCTCCGCCCCTGGTGCCGCCGACCCCTTTTTTGTGAGACAAGGCAGCAGGGCTAGGAAGGCAACAACCGAGCCACAGACATAGTTCTGTTGCGGACACTCCGGCGAGATGGAGGAGGTGCAGCGCCTGGTGACTTCAGGAGCTGATATTGATGCCAGAGACGAGAAAGGCTCGGGCCCCCAGACTTGTGGGAGCTAGAAGGATAGCTTTCCCCAAACCCATAGTAGAAAAATGTAGCTTTGGAGACCTTGAACAACCTTGGACATATTTGGAAGCTGCATGAAGTTGGCTGATGTTGCAGCTTTGTGGGTCCAAAAAACCTTTACAGTGAGGACCCTTTCCTTGAAAAATCCGGGCCACTAGAAAAAAAAGGGCTTGGCGCGCCAGAGCCCCGAGCCCACAGTCTGCGCAACTCCGCCCACAGTCCCGCACAGAGCCCAGAGCCCACAGTCTAGCAAGTGCGAGGTTTTGGAGCGTCTGAAGCGTCCAGAATCCAGAAGTATGGCAGAACCATTGGCAAGTGCCGAAGCGTTTGAAGCGTTTGAAGGGTTTGAGGGGCTTGAGGGGTTTGAAGGGCAGTTTCGGGCCACTAGAAAAAAGGATTTGGCGCGCCAGAGCCCTGAGCCCACAGTCTGCGCAACTCCGCCCACAGTCTCGCGCAGAGCCCAGAGCCCACAGTCTAGCAAGTGCGAGGTTTTGGAGCGTCTGAAGCGTCCATGGAGCGTCTGAAGCGTCCAGAATCCAGAAGTATGGCAGAACCATTGGCAAGTGTCGAAGCGTTTGAGGGGTTTGAGGGGCTTGAAGGGCAGTTTCGGGCCACTAGAAAAAAAAGGATTTGGCGCGCCAGAG